TAACAAGCAATTCAGATATAGTTTTCATCAGCATACAGAGAAGAACAAACTGCAAATCAACATATCTGCATCTTGATTAGAAGTACACAAAAAGTCCTTGGATGGCCAGCAACCATAAAGGGCCATGACTTTGTAGGAGCAAGAAGGTACCTACCTACCTACCTACCTACCTACCTTTTTATCTATCTATCTATCTATCTATCTATCTATCTATCTATCTATCTATCTATCTATCTAGATTTATATAGTCGTCCATCTTACATGCTACAACTCTGAGAGGCTCACAAAAACAGAATAAACCATAAAAGAACCATGCAATCAGCATCAAAGCAATTCTGGCACCCCAAAATAGACTCCTCACACATAGATGTTCATATTTATTGGGCTTTAGCTTCACCTTAGCCCAATGCTTGGGAGAAGAACCAGCTCTTTAAGTCCTTCTGGAAGACTGGAAGGGTATCCTGCCAGATCTCAGGACCGAAGGTATTCCACAGGGCAGGAATGGACTATGGAGAAGATAAGCTTCCTAAGTCCTACCAGATGACAACTCCCTTAAGGAGACCTAGAGTGTGCAGGTCTCTCTGAGTTATTGGAATAGGCAGATACCCTCAGGGAGAGGCAGTCCTGCAAATAACCTGGCCTTGTGCCATGCCAGGCTTTAAAACTGATAAGCAATACCTTGAATTGTAACCAGAAAGAAACAGGGAACCAATACGGCCTACACAGCAGTGGTGTAATATGGGCAAACTGCCACTGCATTCTTGAACCAGTTTAACTTCCAGATGGTCCAAGGGCAGCCCCATAGATGTGTTGCAATAATTTAACTGGGAAGTGACCAAGGCATGTTTGATGGTGAGCAGGGTTTCCCGATCTGGGAATGGGCACAATGCACAACACGGTTTTCTGCAAAGGCCTCCCCAGCCATGGCTGCCACCTGTTCCTCAAGCAGGAGCTGCAAATCCCGGAGGATCCCCAAATTGTGAACCAGCTCTGCCCAGGGGATTGCTACCCTGTCAAGAGTCAGAAATGACACCTAACCAGATCCAGGTGGATCAAAAACCCAAAGTAACTTTGTTGAAGCCAGTTCCTCCCCATTCAGACCCTTATAGCCTCCATGCATTGGGCTAGCACCTGAATGGTATTGCCTGACCAATCAGGAATAGTAAGGAACAGCTAGGTATCATCAGCGTTCTGATATTACCTCTCCCAGTGGTTTCATGTAGATATTTAAAAGCAGCTATGAGAGAACTTAACCCTGAGGCACCCCAGACCACAGGGGCCTAAGGTTAGACCTCTCCTCCTTCCCCCACAAACACCAACTGGAACTGGCCACTCAGGAAGGAGGTGAACAACTGCAAAACAGTATCCCCAACTCCTAAAAATGCCATTCTAAAGAATACCATGGTTGATGGTACTGAAAACTGCCAAGAGAACCAGGATGGTCTCCAGAGATCATTCACAAGGGCAACCAATGTTGTCTCAGTACCATAGCCCAATCTGAACCCTGACTGAAAAGGGTCCACATAATCTGCTTCATCCAGGGCCCTCTGGAGCTAAGTGCCTACCACCCTCTCAACAACCTTTCCTAAAAAGGAAAGGTTGGAGATTGGATACAAGACTGTTGGGTCCAAGGCTGGCCTTTCAAGAAGGTGGTAAACCACTCCCTGCTTCAAAGCAGGTGAAACCATCTCTTCCTGGAAAGAGGCATTAATCAACACTTAACCCAACTAGGAGGGGCATGGGTCCAGAATACAGGTGGCAGAGTTCACAGCATAGGGACCCTATCCATTTCTTCAGGGACAACTAGGTCAAACTCTTCCCAGATACTTGAGCTCAGATGTGCCTCAGTAATTTCCATAGGACCTACCCAACCAGAGCCCAACTCTGAGTGAAGCCAATTGTCTTTATCAGATAGAGGCTGAGAGTAATTGTCACAGCAGCCCTGCAAGGGCTACCCCAGCCCCTTCTTATCCAGAACTAAACTGGTCACCCATAACAGGGCCACTAGCAGCTATCTGCGAATACAGTAAGAATGGAGACGTGAGCTTGCTGTGCTCCTGTGATTACCACAAGTAAGTCCTAATACAGTACAAACGCACTGCAGCAACCTAGAACAGCAGAAAAAGCAAACAGGCTGCCTATACAACATCTTGCAACAAAATGGATATCCACACAACTTTATCAAAAAGTGTCTGACCACTCAACCCATTACAGCACAACCAACACAAGCCATGAAAAGGATAACACATCAAAAACATCTCAGAAACAACCAATGGACTATTGGAACCACATGGCATCACCATAGCACACAAACCAACTAAAGCCCTCCTAAAGATTTTAAATAAAGACCCAGTAGCCAAAGGGGGGGGGGGGAAGCAGGACTAATCTACAACATACAGGGTGCGGACTGTACATACAGCACTGTGTAGGACAGACAGGCAGAAGACTAGCAGAGCATACTAACTAGCAGTTAGGAGATACAATGAAAACTCCTTAATCTCACAACACATGGATAGACTCAACTATAGTTTCAATTAGTTTCACCAGGCAAACAACCAAGCAGAAAATAATACCCTAATTTTAGTGTTGAAAGAAACTGGAAGTAATTTAAAAAAAGTCCTCTCCCCAAGTAAACCAAGCATAAAGAGTTAATTGTTTATGAGTGGATATTTACTGCCATATTTCACTGAATGTGGCCATCAAGTTCATAAACCCCATTCTGAAGAAGACAGATGAGTTCTTATGAAAAAGATGACTGAGGGAAAACACAATGTAAATTGATAGAATAACTATAATCAAGAAAGAAATAACAAAAAGAAAAAAGAAACAATAATTCAGACATCACACACATACAAAATCTAAGAGAAGTGTTTTAAAAGGGAATAAAGTATTAGGGAATCTCCACTCAAGGAAGATTCAGAGGTTGGGCTCAAATCAGAAAGCTTAGCAATTTGACTCTTAACAGATTCTGACAGAGGCAGGGCTCCATCAGTGTGTATCACAGACCATGACAAAGAAATCAATATCTGTCATAATGCAAATTTCTTATATCATTTGCCTGCTTTAGATAACAAGCAAAGGACTTAGTTACGGGCAAAATATTAGAAACACATGGATGAGAAATTTGAAATAAACATGATAACACTGGAGTTCATAGCATACAACTAGGGGACGCTCTAGTTTGGAACAGCAGACAAGCTTAGTTTACACAACTCCTCTGTTATTATGTACAACTGAATGCTCCCAAGACATTACTTCAACTTGTAATTACCTCAAAGATCCAAACAAGCTGTTCAGTCAAATTTAAAAAATGACCTTTTTTTCATAAAAATGAAGATAGCAGCAGCATAGACTATGTTCTACATATCAATTCAAGAGCATTTCTATGTTTTCCCTGTGCATACAATAAATCGTAATATTCTTGCTCAACTGCTAGGTTTCCTTGAAATTTTTAATTTTCCTTGAAATTTAAAATTTTAATTTACTGCTTGCTACTTTCCCCCTTAAATTTATCTTACTGCTATTTTTATTATTTATAGTATATCTTCTCCCTATAAAGCAATACCAATCTAATAATCTCCAAAACTAAACAACTATTTCATAAAACATTAAAAATAATTTTTAATCATAAAGCTCCTACCAAACAATTTTAAGAGCTATGTTAAAAACTATAGTTTTTATAGCAGCTCCAAAGAGCCATTTTTCAGCTAGGAGTGATAGAGGAGAAAGCCCTTTTACACAATGAACAAAATCCTTATGTGGCAGTATCTTTAGAAATGTCTCTCCTACCCATCTTAAGAACTGAATATGGAAACAGGCAGACCCTTAAACAGCCAGGCCCTAAATCATTTACATCTTCAAAAGGTTAAAACTAGTACCTTGAACTGATTCCCAATAGCAATTTTTTTCAGTATTGGGAATACATGAACTCTGTATCATTCATGTATTGAACTGGCTGAAATACTCCTGTAAACCACAACATTCTGAAGGAGGGGAAAGGATCTGAGCAGAAGAGGTAGAATAATTTAAGGAACAAAGGAGACAAAGAATTAAGATGGACTAACCAGAGAGGAAGCTCAGAAAAAAAATACAAAGAATTTAAACTGAGGAAAGGCTTATAATATAGGGAGTAGGAGAGAGGAATGTCCAAGAGACAATACATTGTTCAAACTCACCAGAAAATCAAATCAAACAAGTTAGGTTATTAATATCTAACATTTTAAACATAATTTCTCATTAAATATGGAGTAACAGGGAAAAGTAATATGAAAACATAGTTTGAAAATCAGAGTCAAATGTTGTTTAGGATGCTGTATATCCTAATTACACCCTTTTTTAACCATTACAAATCAAGAACACAAGTTAATATTCTTATGAATAAATCAGCTTACAAATAAATACTGTTGACCATATATATAAGTCCATCCTGTAACAAGTGAAACAGCTTAAAGAAATTCTTAATCTATTTTTAGGCTATGGAAAATCTGTTGATGTGAATTTACCAGTTTAATGGATCACAGGTAGTCATAATTCTATAAATAAGTATGTCTAGAGATATATTTTGCTTGAAGAAGACAATTCAAATATTGCTGGCATAAAGAAAATTATCAGACTAGACAGAAAACAATAGGGGGTGTACACGACTACTAATCTTATTACTACTAAGCAGCAGCAGCAGCCAGAGGTATGTATATCAAAACAGGAAGATGGCAGTTATAGTACGTACAACATTCATGCACATACAAAAGGGGGGGCGCTCAAATCACACTGCTGTGGCTGCCATCTTGCATGTTTTGACCCTCCCCCCACGTGGGGGCTACTGCTACTAAGGAACACAAGATGTGGCAATCAAAAGGGCACAAGTGGGACCAAAAAGCTGTGAAACAGAAAATTGGATAGTATGTGTTGCCTTGAGCTAATCAACCAGTTCCTTGTAGTAAACTAAATGTTATGAATACGTGCTTAGAGAAATACAAGATTTAAAGCAAGTGATAAAATACCTTAAGGCAGTTTCCAGTGTGCAAAAGTTTCTTCAAAACTGACCCTAAAATAAAGAAAAATGGATTAGGAAATTTTCAAATTAAAGATTAGATTCTATCAACCAGGACTGATAAAAATAAATGATTTTAAAAGTTCATATTAAAAAACTGACTTTTAACATTTAAATTGGACTTTACCAGTCTCTTAACATGTGAAACATGAATCCTGATCAACTATATCACTAACTTCTAATTTATTGTATTGACATGCTTGCTAATTGCTGTACAGGAGATGAGAAATAGCAGGTCTTAATAGTCCTATTCTGCAAGGAAAGGACATGCACATTGCAAGCCATCAAGCTCTCTAAAAGTGCAAAGACAAAGGGAGCAGGGGATTGAAATTGATCCAAGACAGGAGAGGGGTTCTATATAATTGCAAAGAAGAAGCTAAACAAATAGATAATGAAATGGGGGGGGGTCAAGGACAGGAGAGATTGCCTACAGAAATTGCTTGGTTTTTTTTCTTCTCCCCCTCTCCCTGTGCAGCAGAGAGATTGGAGAGGAAGGGATTACAAGAGAGTAAGCAGGCACACAATGGGGAATACACTGGGCTGTTTGCATAGTGTGCACATTGCTTTCGATGTATATTCCCCATTGTGTGCCTAATTACTCTCCTGTAATTCCTTCCTCTCCAACATTTCTGGGAGGAAAAAGAGAAAAACAATAGGTCAGACACAGGACGTGTACTGACTGTAATGGTGATCATGTGACTGAGGGATGCTGCAAAGGTCATAAACACAGGCATTGGTCATAAAGTTATTTTTCAGGAGTGTCATAACGGTCACTGAACAAGGCAGTCAGTAAACGAGGACTACCTGTATACAGTTGAAGGCCTTGCTGTAGTAGTCAATGAAGCAAAAGTAAATCTCCTTTTATATTCTTACTTTCTCCATTATTCTCTCACTTTTCTGAAAACTGCCTATTCACTCAGTAGATAAAGACAGCTATTCAACACTGTCAGGACATCCTTAATAGGTCCTTTTTTAACAAATAATCCTGCCAATGATAACTTCTCTACTGAAGGACAAGGATTCTAGCAAAATAAAAAAAGGAAAACTCCAAATGAACTAAGGATAAATTGAATTAGGAAACTGCTAGATCTGATCTTGAAAACCCTCTAGCTACCTGAAGAAAAGCATCTCCGAGGAAATGAGTAAGGAACTCCAGCAACAGTATTCAACTATATTCACAGAGAGAAACTTTTTCTCACTGAAGATCCTAATTACATGCTATTCCTTATTTCCTAATTATTTTTATTCTTTTTAAGTAGGAAAGAAAAAAAAGAAAACATACATGCAACAGTATATTACATTAAAAATATAATTCAGACTAATTTTAATACATGAATAAACCTTGACCACATAAAATATTAATCAGCCTTTCCATTATATCAACACAGTGCCAGTAAAAGAAAAAAGCGAACACGTATCTGTAACAGAAGATTCTATTCTTTCCATCATTTCTACTTCTCATGCACAATAAATCCTTAACTTTTATATAATGATACATTCCAAACTGCTGATAAATAATACAAGAGTACACTTACATCTTTAAATAACAATGGTTTTTGTATTAGCAATTATATATATATATGATTATATATTAACAATTTTTGAATATCAAACCAAAATTAATATTAATTGAACAAGCTTGTGTTGTATGAATAAGTGTTTTCCTCAACCATATTATATTATCAACAAAGCTGAGTTGATAACCTGCCATTTTTGAATATTTCTTATGGAGTCCAATAAACATGGAAAATAAGCTTTTGTTGAATTAACTTTAAGATCACAGAAGATATAACTAATATTTCAAAACGGTCTTTGCCACTAATCTGCTAGCACAGATATTCTACCTTCTATTCCACAGTTTTTGAAGATGCCTAATAACCCCTCAAAAAAACCCTGTAATTCTTTATAGAGAACTTTGAGAGAGGTACAGATGGAATATATATTCCATTATTAGTATAATTCAGGAGGTTTAGATGTTGCCCATGTATTATGACCAAATACAAGAAATTGTATTGTAAATACAATACAATTGTAAATTCAAGAAGTACTGAAATATTAATGCATTTAGTGGCCCATAACTAAGAGTTACTATGTATTTTGTTGAGATTATGCCAGAGTAAAAATTTTTCATATGCATATGGCTCAAAATTATACCTTTGTTCAATACTTTCCAAATATGTCTTGCAGCCCTTAATGCAGAAAATACAATAGCATTATGGCTAAAATTATATTTCCTACCTTTGTAAGATAAACAATAGTTTAGAGGTTTTTTAAAAAAAATTGAGGGTTGTCCTTGCCATAAAAAGTTCTTAATATTTTATCAGTCTGCTTAAAATAAGTTCTATTTAAAATAATTCATCAAAGTGCTGATTATCACTTAAAAAGCGCTATATGGTATGGGGCAACAATATTGGGGGGACTTTCTCTGATTGTCTCTACTCACCCCATCAGGTCTGGAAGGAGGGGCAAGTTTCAGGTCCCATCTATTAAAGAGTGTCACCTAGTGGAACCTTTTCTGTCACTGCACCAGCCATTTGGAACACTATTCCCCCAAGGTTAGGTTGGCCCCAATGCTGCTGCCTTTTGGTTGTTCTCCCAAGTGTAAGGTTAATTGAGCCTGTGAAGTATTTTATTGTTGACGGCTACCATCTTTTAAAAATTCTAGTTGCATTTTCTTCTCTTTCATGTTCATGTTGTATTATTACATTGACTTTTTAAACTGTTGCTTATGTGAGATGGGCAGCTATATATAGTGCATTTGGAAAGTATTCAGACCCCCTTCACTTTTTTCAATTTTGTCATGTTGCAGCCTGATACTACAATCGTTCAAATTCATTTTTTTTCTCATTAATTTACACTCAGTGCCCCATAATGACAAAGTGAAAACAGAATTTTAGAAATGTCTGTAAATTTATTAAAAAGGAAAAACTGAAATATCACACTGGTGTAAGTATTCAGACCCTTTGAAACATCACTTGAAATTTAGCTCAGGTGCCTCTTGATAGTTGCTGAGCTGTTTCTACACCTTGATTGGAGTCCACCTGTGGTAAATTAAATTGATTGGACATGATTTGGAAAGGGACACACCTCTCTATAGAAGGCCTCACAGCTGACAATGCATACATACTATATCAGAGCAAAAGCCATGAAGCCTCTCCTCAGTGCAAAATACATGAAAGCCTGCTTC